GGATCGATACTTGGACCTTTGCTTTTTTTAATTTATATTAATGGTCTCTATAAAGCATCAAATTTAACAACAATTATGTTTGCCGATGACACAAATCTTTTGAACTGACAATGACTTACCAACATTATTTAACAAAATGAATAGTGAGCTCATTAAAATCTCGAACTGGTTTAAGTCAAACAAACTATTAATAAATATCGAAAAAACTAAATGGATCCTTTTTTACCCAACTACAAAAAAAATCTACTTTCGGTTGTACCTTCCTTGTATATTGATAATACTGAAATAAAAAGAGCTAAAGTTACCAGTTTCTTGTGTGTTTACATTGGTAAAAACTTCAACTGGAAAAATCATGTTAACATTCTAAACCATAAAATTGCTAGAAGTATAGGAATGCTTTACAAATCAAGAACTTTTTTAAGTAAATACACTTTAATTCAATTATATTACTCATTTATTTATTGCCATATTAATTATGCTAATACTGCATGGGTTGGTGTAAATATAAGTATACTACAAATTCTTTATCGTCAACAGAAGCATATTTCACGTCTTATGAATTATAAAGACCGTTTTACTCATACCAGGTCCCTTTTATTTAAAATGAATGCTCTTAATGTCTATCAGCTTAATGTCTTAATTATATTCTTTTATATTCTATTATATTATATTCTTTGCTTTATGTATAAATGTGAAACTAGCACTTCCCTTTATCCTTTTTATAATTTATGCTCACATAAAAAAATAAGCAAATACTATCATCGAAATGAAAACTTTATCCAACAACCTTTTTTGCAAACAAATTTTGGTAGATCTTGTATCTCTTATCGAGGAGCTTTTTTATGGAACAAAATAGTTTTGAAATATTTTGATTTTACTCAAGAGTGGAATTACAACACATTCAAAAGAAAACTTAAACAGATAATTTTATCTATCGATAACATACTCTTATATTTTTAATTTTTATAAAGTAAAATTTTTAAAATTCAATTCTTAGTATTTACATACATGAATGTTATTTATCTTTTACGTTTATTTATTTTTACTTTCGACGAGATTATACATATTTAATACAATAAATGTAACGAACAAAGCGGTTCTCGACAAACTTAATTAATCTTGAAATCATTCTATTATATTATTGAAATTATTATGATTGTAAATAGAGACCGGCGAAGTCGACTTTTTAAGACTCGAATTTAAATGAAAGACGAATTTAGATCATATGCGTATACCGAAATTAACTGAAAGACGAATTTAAGCCGTATACGTAGTCCGAATTTCACTGAAAGACGATTTTGGACTTCTAAACCGAATTTAACAGAAAGTCGAAATTGGATTTTAAAAACACATTTAATTAAAAGAGAAATTTTTTTAAAACTTTTATAAGTTTTATAAATTTTTTTTGCATTTCTTTGTTTTTTTTGTTTTTTGCTTTAAATGTTTCAAGAAGACCAAACGGTTTCGCCACGGAGTACATCAGAAAAGTATTAAACTAGGAAGTTCAAACTTCCTTCCTTACCGATTACAAAAAACAATTTGCGTCAAAATAAAAAATCCAAAAATTCAGTAATAATGAAAATTTAAGTTACTAGATATAATGTTTTTGAACGGACATGAACAAAAAAATATTACAAAATTTGTTGAAAAATTTTTATTGTCAATTTTATAAAGGAAAAAGATCGTTAAGAATATTAGGTTAAATATTCACTTGTTTTTTAATAGACTTAGTGCCTAAAAAAGACTTTTCGAATATTAACTCTGTAAGACAAATTTATTTCCAAAATGTTTTTTTTTTTTTTTTTTTTTTTTTTTTTTTTTTTTTACCGAAATCATGTTCTTAAGCCACTTTAGTCGAGGAAGCTGGTTCTTTTATTGGTTACAACCCGCTCTCAACTCTTTAATTCCGAAACACTTTTCGGAGTTAAAGAGTTGAAAGAGGGTTGTAACCAATAGAAACAGGTTGATATATATAAAACATAATATATTTTATAATTCTTCTTCTTTATAAATTCTAAAAAAATTTATAGCTTTTGAATTTAACTGAAAGTTAGATGAAATTTTGAAATTGTTGAATTGTTTTGAATTTAATTGAAAGCCGAATTTCTATTTCAACTTCGGCACCGAAGTCGAAGCCGAAGTCAACTTCGCCTTTTAGTAAACTACGTAATCCGAATTTTAACGAATATTTGCCGGTCCTTAATTATAAAACCATAGTCATAATATAGTCTGGCCATAACTATAGTCATAACAGTAAACAATAAAAGTTAAAACTTTAAATGTATGTTGAAAATCGTTTATTTATCGTACCCAGACTACCAATAAGTGCACAAAAATCTAAAAAATGACGAACTCAACAGATAAACAGTGCTTCGATTATTTCATATTTAGATCTATAATCAGATATATTATTTTGTAAACTCAAGTTTATCAATAATTTCAGTTCTTTTTTCGTTAAAATTGGAAGTAAAAACGCTTACACTGGTGAAAATTCATTTTCACCAGTGTATGATAAAATGTAAGTCGGGGCATAAATTCAAACGCTACATAACAAAGCAGCATTCAAATAGTTTCTCTTTAAATCAGCAAATCAAAACACAAACTGATATTAAGCAAACGTGTTCTACAAATAAGTTTATGAATTTTGTTTAAAAAAACATTCTTATTGTTACAAACAATCTTTGCTGCAACGTGTTCTGCAAAAAAATTCATCAATTTTGTTTTAAAAAACATTCTTATTGTTAAAAACGATCTTTCCTGCCTTCCATATATCAGAGATGAGCTTTCATAGTACATATTTTAAAAAGATGATACGAAGCTATTATTCAAGTTAATAAAATAAAGTTATTAAAATTATTTAAAGTGAAGTTGAAGTTTTTTATTCAAAATTTATAGTTGCAGATCAGAAAGGATTTTTCTAACAGATCCTCGCCTCTAGTAGGATATAAACTTGCTAATCATATTTAAAAAGAGAAAAAGAAAAAAATTTAGTTCAATGTTTTGGTTGTTACGTATTTAGTACTTTTTATCGAAAAATATGTTAGTCAAAAAAAAAAAAAAAAACCTAGAAAGGGTTTTTAAACTCCATCGAATAAATATTAGACATTTAATAAAGGTTATTTTAATAACCAAAATTTTTTTAAAAACATTCTAGCATTTGAACTGTATTGTAGTATGATTGAAAGATGCAATAATAAAGTGAAAATCAATTAAAGTTGTGTAATTTTTTACTTTAAATAATATTATCCTATAATGTAATGAATAAAGCAATTTGTTTACCTACTTAAGTAATTTAATAATTTTTTCGGGATTTTATCTATAAAATTTTGAGATTTTATTAAGACTTCTTTGCATCACTTTTCCTTCACATAACTTCAACCTAACAGGTCACTTTTTAGCCTCTATGGATTTTTTTAAAGATTGACAATGCACCTTTTGATACCCCAATTACTACAATTACGTGCATGATATAACTGCAACAATAAATACATTTCTTTATTTAAGATAGCATTTAAAACTCTATTCAGAAATAATAATGACATTTTTATTTTAAAGATTTCTTCTAAAATCACCTTAAATAATTAAACCTGAAAAAGTCATCACTACTCATTTACTATTGCCTTGTGTATCTTGTTTATTTCTTATTAAAATAAAAAATATATATACTATTAATTTTGAACAGACAAATAACATTTATTCTATTTATTACTTGTGTCTTATATCTGTCGAACTAATATTGTATTGTACTTCAATTTTTAACCTTTTAGTTTTTAACTTGTAACTTTGTGACGTTAATGTAAACGGGGCTTGGCGATAAGACAGTTTATGTCTTCTTCTTGCTCCGGCCAATTTTTATACATGAATGGTTTTTTCTCATTGTAAATTTAATTATACGGCAAAGTAAATATAATGCAATAATAATATATATATATATATATATATATATATATATATATATATATATATATATATATATATATATATATATATATATATATATATTTAGGTACCTTCATAAAAAATTTAAATTTTTATTTTTTAAACCAAATTAATTCTATTATATAGAGATTATTAAATGACAAATTTTTATACCAAATTTATTATCTGGGGTCAATTATAAAAAAAGATATTCAATTTTGAAGGTAGAGAAAATAAAGTGGACATCTTAACAAAGATACACAAGAAATGACTTCAAAAAGTGGACTTTATAACATAGTTCATAAAATATTAACAATTTACTGTCACATATATGATAAAAACTGTTTATTATATCCCACTTATATAAATTAAATTTAAAAAAAAAAAAAAAAAAAGGGAGGGTGTGTGTGTGTTTAAGCCCATTTTAAAAGTGGGTCAAATTCGATTCTAGTCATTTTATTAAAAAAATTAATATAATTAATCTAAATTTAAGTTTGTTCATGCTTAAATCTAATGAAAATGTGAAAAAAAAATTGTATAATTTTTTTTTTCATATTCTAATTGAAGTGATTGGAGCCAGGGAACAAGAATACCCCAAAAAGTTTGTACCCCCACATAAAAATGTGAGGGGACTAAGTTATTAAAATACTTTAACTTATTATCTTATACTACATTTAAATCCATCAACAGACCCAATAATTCTTGATATGTTTAAAGTTATTTTTTGAAATTATTTCACATGGTCATAACCTTTGAGCATTAAAAAATGTGAATTTAAATTTAGTTTTGGATAATAAACTTAAAAACTTATTAACTCATTAAATTAACATTTGAGACAGAGGGATTCTATCTTTTTTAGATAGTTTTGTTCCTAAGATTTAATTACCACAATTTTTTAGCAAATCATTCTTATTTGACATATGATTGAACATACTTATACTTAGAGTTTTCGTAATGCCAAGTACAGAATCTGAAATGTAAAATAACCCTGTGTCTGCTCTTGGTTAATATAAAAATATTTAAAAACTGAAAGGAATGAATAAAAATGTATACAAAATAATCAACATAAACAAAATAAAAGA